AGGGAAAAGAATAAATAAATAAATAAATAATAATAAGTGATCGTGCCCCACTTCGCACATAAAACGAGAAGGGAACGATAAAAGAACAAGAAGAAAAAAAAAAAGAAAAAAGAAAGAAAAGAGTTCCGTTTCTTCTATTACTTCATTTTTTCTTTTCGTTTTTGAAGTAATTTTAAAAGTATAAGAGAAACGAAAACAGAAAAAAAAAAAGAAAACATAAAGGTCCGATTGTTGTAAATATTTATATACAGCAAACAGAAGGTATAAATTAATAATAATAATAATAATAATAATAATAATAATAATAATAATAATAATAANCTTCTTTATTATCATTATTATTATTATTATTATTATCATTATTAATATTATTAGTATTGTTTACGGTTATTCACATAACTCCAATTTCCACTCAGTATTATCTATTCTCTCTTTTTATCGTCCTCTTCTATTGTTTTCTCCCTTTTCTCGTCATCCCCTCATCTCCATTGCCATTATATCCCCAGCGATCATAACTCATACACACACAAGTCACAGTTACCATAATTACAATGATCATTAAAACAACAATCCCAAGGGCACACACTGTACTACAGGTGGTATCTGTAAAGAAAAACCCCAGATTGGAGTTACGGGTAATAATAATAGTAGATGGACTAACTTTAATAAAGAGTTCATGTTCAGTGAAGTGAAGATGATTTTTACGTGTAAGGGCATGCATGGCTCTTTTCATAGAGGATAGACATTCTAATGGCATAGTGATATGTAAACCATTGTTACCTTTCTCATAATTCCCACTATTACTATTACTACTAACACTATCAGTAATATTATTATTATCAATATTATTATTAACATTATTAATATTATCAATAGTAGTAGTAGTAGTAATAATAGTACAATCACTAGAACTATGATCATTATCCACATACAAAGAAGTAATATTCCATATTGCTGTAAAATATGCAATTAGTCGTTCTGAATTACCATTAAATCTTGGCAATACATCATGTACCACAACTTTACAATCTTTTACTATTATTCCTCTTCTTTCTTCTTCTAAAGAAGAGGAACTTTCACTCGTGAAGTTTACCATTTGCCCTATTGTCTCTTCTTCTTTTTCTTCTTCTTCTTCTTCTTTTGCCTTGTAGATATTTTGCATGTAGAGATGACAAAAACAGCGTTGAAGATCTTCTTGTAGGGCACGTTGAATGGCATTCAAAAAACGCACAGGAGCCACCGCGGTGTAGCGTAGTTCTTTCCCAAGAAGTAAAAGTACTCCATATGTCTCCATGGAGTGCGGCTCCTCTATTGGCAATGAAGAAGAAGATGAAGATGATAATAATAATGTTGATAAGATGGGATGTATCTTATCTGTTGAGGAGTTTGTATACATAAGAGAAGGGATTCCCGGTGTCATTACTGCTTCTGCATTACTTGTGGTCTCTGCAGATATGAAGAGGAGGTGTGGGTTTATTAACATTCCACCAAATAATAGTTGATGGAGCAGAATAATAAAGAAAAGCCGCATTTCATTTAAAAACAAAAAAAAAAAA